GTTTCCAAACTTTATTTTACCTAAAAGCTAACCCAAAAGCCTAGATATAAGTTTGAACCCACGACTTCAACACAAAAAACAACCTTCTTCCACTGCTCCAATGGTTACTGTTTCAAATTGTGTCATTCACTGAGTCTTGGCCTTCATTCTTACCCAAAAATACAACTTCAAAACACTTTAAAATCCCCCAAACTAAAAGCTTTCTTTTTTTTTTTGGTTCAAAATTTTTTTGTGTTTTTTTTCTTTTTGGCTTTATGGTGTTGTGGTTCTCTAATTGGGGATGTTGACTTTTTTTTTTTTGCTTTTTGGTTAATGACAGTAAAAGCGACATTGTAAAGTGTTTTGGCTGAAGGTGTTTGGATTTTTTTTGTTGTATTTTTTTAATGCTTTATTAGGTAACGGCAGATTGGCGTTAGGTTGCTTGACAAGAGAGGTCAAATAGTAGTAGTGATTTTGGTTCAAGGTGATGGTAATGAATCAATTGTTGAAGGTGAGTCATTGGTGGAAGGTTCGGTATTAGTTCTGTTGTAATTATGAGTAGGCTAAGTTGTATGTGGCAAAGTTCGGTGATAACTAGGTTTGGGTGGTGGTTTGGGTGGATGTGGTGAAAATTATAGTATACTATTTGGTGAATGGCCAAGGGTTTTGTAACAGATTTGGCTTTGTCGAGGTCGAGGGCTAGTGAAATGGTGGCTAAACTTTGGTACAGGTGAGTGATGGTTAGGCTATGGTGCAGATGAATAGGGCTATGTTAGGTGCGACAAAAACTTGATTATGGTGTTGGGGGTTGATCACGGTGATGGTGATTTTGAGTTGTGGTAGGGGGTTCTTTTGTGATTCAAAAGGGGTTTCGATTGTATTTTTTGTGGATTTTAGTAGGCCGTTGTAGTGGTTTAAGGCATGAAGGGATGATGGTACTTTTGGTTATAAGAGAGAAGGGATGGTGGATTTTAGTTACCTAAGTTTGGTTATGGGTATGGGATTTTTTGTTGTTTTTTGGTTGATGGCCGAGATGGGCTTCTTGATTTTTTCTGTGTTGTGCTTTGATGGTAGTCTCGGATAAGGGTGGGGTGTTTTCGTTGAAAGTAGAGAGTGTGAAGATAGGTTGTATAGCAGCTGGTGATAGAGCTTATGGGTTTTTTGCCAATTTTCTACTATTTATTTTTCCCCCTTCCCCAATCCCCTATGGATCTTTACCTATGTCCATTTTATTAGCAATCAAAGACTAGGTGAAGCTTACTGTCTTTGTTTTGAAAACTAGATTCAGAAATTTGGACCTTTGTGGTGTGGGAGATGAAGGTTGCTTAGCTCTAAAATGTTTGCTGAATTGGTATTAGAGGTGAATAGGTGAAATTTGGGTAAATATAGATTGCTAAAAATGGTGAGATAGCTAAGGGGAAGATCTGAGAAAGCTGGTTTGCCATGCAAACCAAGTTTCAAGCTTTTTTTTTTTTTTTGTGTTTATCAATTAATAAAAATAATTAAATTTAAAAAACTAAAATTGGGCCTTAAAATGTTAAACTTTAAAATTTGATCTTGGATTTATCCAATTTTAAATCAACCCAAATTAAATTGGATCAGATTTTAATACATGCCAAAAAAAATTTTAAAATAATAAAACCTAAATAAGCTCGATAAGATATATCCAATTAAAGTGCTCAAATAAGTCCAAATCGAAGTGTACAAATCAAACACAAAAATCGAATAAACTCGAATCTATTTCGGATAAAATTAGATGTCTATATCTTTCTCATAGTTCTAAAAGTTAATACTCACTTTTATATTTATAAAACTACATTACTTGATCACTAAAAATTCTTATTTACTAAAAAATCTTATCTGTTAAGAATATTTATTCTTAATAAACAACTAATTTTTTAACTAACAGAATTTCATTAAAATTCAAATTGATTCCCAATTAAAATTTGAGTCAATATCTAAAAAATTTTCACCATAACACAAATTTTACTATAACATTAATCTTCAAGAAATCCGGACTATAAATAATTGAGTGAGTGCTGACTCCACTCGATTCAGACAAGATGATCAATATTTAAATGCAGCCAAATTAACTTTATACGATTAACTTCACTTATAACTAATGTATTATCGCAACATATCTTCTCTTACATGTTGTCTCTAATCTTATGAACACAATCTATAACAACAAATCCCCTTCCACAATTGATGTGGGACAAGCAACCCAAAAACCTAACAACAATCAAGCATTGGACCCTATTTCTTATGCATTGATAGATAAAGAAAAATCCAATCAAGAAGATAGCTACATACATGGAGTGCACCGACAAATCAAATCCATTTTTCTTTGTTTATTTGGCAAAGGATATAAAACAAAAACAAAAAGCTTATTTTCAGGAGAGGAAACTTCTGGGTTCTGAGACACTGCAGACTATACACCTTCAATAAACGAATTTCCAGTTGAAGCTGTCTACTTGTTGGCCTCATATTTGAAGGATAATGTATGGTTCTCCCTACGTCAGGATCTCGATGAAACAAGTTATGAGCTTTTTCTATGGAAAAGTCCACAATCAATTTTTTTTTTTTTTGAAATTGAATAAATATTATTTGTACATAGAATTTTGTTTTTCTATGCACACTCTGTTTTGACTTCATACATGTTGAGTTCATATATGATAATCAATCAATAAATAAATTTTATATTTATAGTAAATCAAATGATATTATTTTATTAATAAATAAATATTAATTTTTAAAATAAATTATATAAAAAATTAATATTAATTAAAAAATTTACTTATTAATAAAATAATATCATCTTATTTATCTATTAATGAAATAATATTATTTGATTTATTATCAATTTATAAAATTTATATATTGATAATGCATCGAATACATTATGAAAACATTGGAGGAATAATTTGGATCCGTATTTAGCTTATAAAATGGGTTTTGCTCTTCAAGAAGGCAAATCATTATAAAATGGGTTTTGTTCTTCAAGCTCTGAACCATCAATGATGTCTCCATACGCTTGTTTGTGTTGATTATACAAAACCAGCTCAACATGAGCACAAACAAAACAACCCACTCCAGGGCACTTGCCTCCACCGACTAAGAAGCCAGTGCCAAGAACCTCATTTCCGAAGCCTCGTCAAGGAGAAAAGCCACCAATTCTTTCTTTTGGCTTTTTGACTTCAAGAAACCATCAAGTTCAAAGAGATTTGTTGTCTTTTCGTGCATGGAGATTTGGTTGGTGGAAACAGGCATCACCAAAGTCACAGAAATAAAAAACAATAATAATGCCAATACTGATACTCAATCATGCATTTTAAACATTTTGTTCCTTCAAGGCCAAAGCTACATAATAATTGGATAAGCTACTGCTTTAACGTTCATCTAATTTTCAAATATGTTCAACAAAAAGGATGGTAGGTAAGATATGCTTACTAAGCCGCATGTAGGTTTTGAAAATGCTATTTCTTTCACATGAAAACATTGTTGAGGACTTTCTGCGTACAAAGGTCGGAGACTAACAGTCATTTTGATCGAATTGCCTGTTATTTTGATTTTAGATAGGAAGGGATTAGAGTAATACTAACCAAATATTGCACCCCCTAGTAGTGTAGACAAATTCATTACCGAAGAGAAATTTGAAAAAAGAAAGAGTTGAGGGTGGCCAAGAAAACACCGACCAAAAAGATGTATTTAGGGTCTGTAAATATCAAGGCTACTCCGCAACCCACACCACCACAATTATTGGATTTCTTTCCAACCTCAATTTAAAAGTAGCTAAAAATTAGCATCTTCTCGCCTATGTGGGATGGACAATTCTGGGTTGTCTCACCGTTTCACGAGATTGTTGCGTTAAAGCTCACAACATACAGTAAATTTCTCTCCTCAATTGAATTGAACCATTCAAATAACTTAGTAGAAGCCTCTGTATTGTGTCCTCGAGTTTGCCTGTGGTTTTAGTGCTAAGCTACTGATACACCTCTAAGTGATATAAAAGGGAAAAAGAAATTGAAAAAAATTACATGCAATGATAGTGAAAGAAAGCTGTTTCTGGAACTTAGTCAGCCAAGGTACAGTCAACAAGCAGGTTAAAATGCTACTTCTAAAGTCAATCAAGATCATTAGATGCAAAAACAAGTTTAACTTCCAAGTCCTAACTAGACAGAATTTGGTAACTGAAAACATCATCAGTATCAACCTCTCTTATAGGCTTTGTTTTCTTATAGCTCTGCCATTACATTTGAAATTAGTAAGAATGTTTGCAATCCAGAAGAAAGTTTGCTGTCATCAAAACATTTCTGTTATCTTTCTTGTAACAGTCAAAGAATTTGTTAATAGATGAGTAATTTATTGGCAGAATGAACTCTTAATTTCAGTAATTAGAATTCAAATTTTGATAACTTATAAGACATTAAACCTTTCATGATATTACAAGATATGCAATTTTATCCTAGGGGATTATTTAAAAAACTCTCTTCACTTTGAGTTTCTTGTTGAGATATTTTCATGCCTCAAGCTTCTTATCTCTGTTAGGATGGACTGTTGAGCATAAATCAAGGAATAAGAAGCAAATATAGCAGCTCAAACCACCCTTTTATAATCTTCTTCATTCGTGAATAAGGCCTTGTATCATACTCCAAAATTTCAACTAAGTGGGACCTTAATGAACCCGATTACATTTATGAATTAATAGAAGATTTACAGATCTAGCTAACTACTTGATAAAGTATGAAACGAGAAATTTTTGACAAAAAGGCTCCCTTACCACTATAAAAAAGCACTTCTCATTACACCATCGAAAGACAGAGCTCAATGATGTCTCTTACACGCTTGCTAGTATTGCTCCTTGGAGTGGTGGTTCTCACTACTCCCTCCCTTGGTACCTACGAGTCACCCAACTATGGGAAACCACATACTCCTGTCTACAAACCTCCGGAGGTGAAGCCACCACCTATTTACGAACCTCCAAAGAAACCAGAACCTAAGCCACCCAAGCGCACCTGTCTATGAACCTCCAAAGAAAGAGAAGCCAGAGCCTAAACCACCTTAAGCCACCAGTCTATGAGCCTCCTAAGAAGAAGAAACCAGAACCAAAGCCAGCTAAGCCCCCAGTTTATTCACCTCCAAAGAAAGAGAAGCCAGAACCCAAGCCACCAGTCTATGAACCTCCGAAGAAGCCACCAGTCTATGAAACTAAGCCACTAAAGCCACCAGTTTATGCACCACCAAAGAAAAAGAAGCCAGAACCCAAACCACCAGTGTATGAACCTCCAAAGAAGCCTCCAGTGTTTGAACCAAAGCCACCAGTTTATGCACCACCAAAGAAAGAGAAGCCAGAACCCAAACCGCCGGTGTATGAACCTCCAAAGAAGCCTCCAGTGTTTGAACCTAAGCCACCAGTTTATGCACCACCAAAGAAAGAGAAGCCAGAACCCAAACCGCCGGTGTATGAACCTCCAAAGAAGCCTCCAGTGTTTGAACCTAAGCCACCAAAGCCACCAGTTTATGCACCTCCAAAGAAAGAGAAGCCAGAACACAAACCACCGGTGTATGAACCTCCAAAGAAGCCTCCAGTGTTTGAACCTAAACCACCAAAGCCACCAGTTTATGCACCACCAAAGAAAGGAGAAACCAGAACCCAAACCACCAGTATATGAACCTCCAAAGAAGCCACCAGTATCTGAACCTAGCCACCAAAGCCGCCGGTTTATGTACCTCCAAAGAAAAAATGCCAGAACCAAGCCCCAGTCTATGAACCTCCAAAGAGACGCCGGTGTTGAACCTCAGAAATACTATGAACCTCCCAAGAAACCACCAGTATATCAGTCACCTTATGGTCACTATCCAGGACACCCTCCATTGGAGAAGTCCCCGTCACCTAGCCATCCGAACAACTAAACTACCATGGCCATATAAATGGATCAGTACCTACAAATAAGAGCTACTGTCAACTCATATTCTATTTTCTTGTATGTCATGTGATGTTTTCTTGTTTGTCATGTATTATGAGAGACCACTGGCGAGAATGCTCATATCAGCCCTCTTTGAAATGTCTATTCTATATCTTCTTGTTGCTCAACGAGTATTTTCTGATTCAACTTATATACGAAATGCCAATTGCAGGATTGTTTATCACAGATTAAATTTCTCGTATTCTCATGCATGTGCATGCTTTTTTGGCCATCCTAAATAGCCCCAGAACTCAACTTTTCTTCTGTTTTCAGTACTTGCATGGAGAAAATGGTGGTAGATATGTTCGTATAAGATAACAAAAGTAAATTTGAGGCAATGATGACGGTTACAATGACCAATCTTCTAGCATTTACAGTGCACATGAACTAGAAAGGAAACGAAAGCCATCACCTTAAGAAAATTGGCTAGAAAACTATGCAATTTCATCTCTATCAATGTTTTTCAATATTGCTTTAATCTGACTAATTTCGCTCTACTTTAAATTTTGCCATCAACCAGTAAAAGTAAGAGAACAGGGCTGTATTCGACTCTGGCTTGTCTTGACTACCAAATTATCTTCTGTATATACCTAACTGTAGGCACCTTATCCGGGCAAGATACCTAGTCCTCCACCATCCTGTTTGAGGATATGCTGACAAATCCCACCTTGTTACATAATTAGAGTTTTAAAGGGTCTAAAAGAGTTCGGAGTCAATGTCACTGGCAGGACCTCATATATCTACAAATATCAAGTACTTGAAATCAGTCTTTAACTTTGATTTGCTTCTAATGTTTGTTCCTTTTCTATTTTCAAAAGCTATATATCTACCTGCCCAAGATCCATGTCTTAAACCACAATCTAGTGTATTCCATCATGTTAGTTCGTGTATTGAGCCTTGAGCTTGTTTGACACACTGAATTATAAATGAACAAGCTTTGTTTTTGTTGAATGATAGGAAGAGTCAAGCAAGCATTAACGTTATTTAGCAAAGTTGCTCCTACATATAAATGCAAATTGTGATTAAATTTCATTAGAACAGGATATAAATAAATGCTTTCTTTTCTTCATGCATTTCAAGTTTTCTATTTTCTAGCGCAGTTAATTTGTGGTACTGAGACCAATATGATTACCCCCGAAGGAAAGTTATGTATTTATCATTCACCAATAGATTCCAGGTGATGGAAAATGATTGGCAAAACCAGTAAAACGGTGTGCTATGCTTGACAGTTTAGTTCATCAGTCAGTTTCTTTTTTCTGCACTGACAGAAACATTTGACATCCATATCTGTGGCTTTCATAAAACGAGGGAATATGCCTTTTGGTCATATATTTCCAAGTTCAAATTGATTGAAGATGATGCTACTGAGATATTACAGTAATGGGAAAAGCTTAATTTGGTGGAGTAAATCATGCCGCACATACATTTAAAGCTTTCTAACAACTCATTTATCTTATTCACAAGTCTGCACCTAATTTGACCATGTTGCTATATTCTTTAATGCCGTTTTGACCTTTAACTGCTAGTTTGTGTTAATCCTCGACGGTTCGACTTAATGGTTATAAGTGAAGAGGCATTGAGGTAACGTAACATACAATAAACTTGGAAGAGATAACATGCAAAAGTAACAAGCAATAATAATATAATAGAGTACAAATTTTAATGTAATGTTACATATCTAACATAAAATTGATTATACGCGAAAAAATTAATTTGAATATAAGATTATAAAAAACTTAACATTTAACATACATGAAATAACGAAAAAAAAGTCTCTCAACTACTTAAAAATCATTGAAAATTTTTATTGTTTTATTTAAGAGTAATAAATATACTTCCAATTAAATCTATGGTTAAAATTTAATAATTTTAAATTAAATATAAAAATACATAAAAATTAATTCAAAAGATAAAAATAATTTCAATAAATATTCATTATATATTTAATTAAAATTGTATTTATCACCCTTAAATAAAACAGTAAAAATTTTCACTGATTTTTAGGTAACGAAGAGAATCCTCTTCTTGAAATAACACTACTTTAATGGTTTTTGATCCAGATGAAAATACAAAGAATACCTACCAAACTTTAAATAAAATGTTTATATTTTATGTACTGTCAGTATATAAATTTTATAAATTATCAATAAATTAGATGATATAATTTTATTAATGGGTAAACATCAACCTTATTTAGTAAAAAAAAATCAATTCTTAAAATAAATATGTAAAAAAGTAATATTTTAAATAAAACTTATTAATGAGATAATATTATTTGATTCACCTCATTAATGAAACAATATTATCAAATTCACTAATAATATATGAAATTTATATATGACAATGCATAAAATATAAATCATTTAAATAATCAACTAAGAAAAGCTTACCTTAAACTCAAAGAAACTGTTAACAAGATTGTGATGAAGTGCCAGTTTTCTTAGAGAGAAAAGTAATGAGACAGGACCTCTTAATGATATTTAAGTTGTGAAAATCTGCATTTTTTTTGTTCCTGTTAGGATTTGCAAATGAACAGACAACTTTTTGACACGATGGGAATACAAAAGCGAGTATGATAAACTGACAGCTTTGCTTACATGCTATTCCATGCATCTAGACACTACTATGGAGCTTCAGTCGATGTCATGCAAAGAAAATATATGGACATAATTTCTTTCAACATTTAGCACAGACCACAAAATTTTATGTGCTGATCCATTAGACATGATTATCTTTTTCCTACCGACTCCATAAATCAATTTGTTCTGATGTGCCACTGCGTTGTCATAAATCTCATTCAATGTCTTCTGAGTGTCTCTGTTGCAGCAGATAGCATTTTATTGCCTCATTACTTAGAGTGAAAGTTGCATCTCTTAAATGTGACGTAGTAAACCAATTTTCCAACTACTAATTTGAGATGGTTTTGTAGTATGTCTTTTATCAAAAAACCCCATCGCTCCTCACTGACAGTTATATGTCTACATAAATTTTGCAGTCTTTTTAAGTTTTAAGCTTATAAATCTGCCCATATTATCATATATAACATCACTAAGTCATTAACTTCAATGTCAGAAGATGAATAAAGATACAAGGAAAAGGCAAAAGCATGAAACCTCTAGCTAAACATATTTGTTGCGGATGATAGAGGTCATGCTTAGGCTTGGCCCTGATCAAGAGCAGTAAATTCATTGTGTTATTGGCTACCAGGTCCTTTCAGGCTTAATAAGACACATGCTTATTAACATTGTCATAGCAGCTGCATGTTCCATCCCTCCCTCCCCCAATAAAAGACACACATGCTTCTTTCTGCACCGTCTTCCAACAACTAGGAAAAAATGCTGACAGCTTTCAATTGGTTCAACCATGATGAGACTGAATTCAAGGGGGATGGATACACATTGTAATGAACTGCACATCATACAATTAGGCTAAGTTGCTGATTTTACAATTCAAGGTATCCAATTAGTTTTGGGGCATTAACCCTTCAACCAATTATGACTAGTTTCCTCTGTCATGAATTTTTAGTGTATAGATGTTTGAAATTATGAAGAGACTACTCTGCCTTTAACATTTTTAACCCAAACCAAATTATTGCTGAAACCAATGTTACCACTAGAACATGCATGATCGAGTTAAATCAATCAGTATCATCATATAGATAATATTGTTACAAGGTTGGAATAATCTGCTTTCCCATGATTTGTACTGGAGGAGCAAGAAGTGGAGATTTTATTTGACCCACCAAACTACTTCATTCTCACAGTCACATATGTCATCAGTAGACCCTAGAAAAAAATAGCCACAAAATGCCCTAGAGCCCTTAACCAATGTGGCTTCCAATACCTTGCTTCTCAGTCCACCAGGGCTTCACCGATTCCTTGCCTTGTACCTCCTGACTTTTATGAATAAATGGTTTTTTGTGGCTGAGCAAAATAAATATGGCGATTCCATGGTGGACTCCATCCAAGCAGGCGTTGACAGCATTCAACTCAACTCTGTCAAACAGATCATACCACGCTTAGGGTTCCCAAAAACGAGCCCTTCATGTACTCAAACACTAGCAACCCTTGCCTGGACTTGTTCTTCTCTGCCTTACCGTCGACGCCAACTCATCCCTTGTTAACTGGCTCGCAAAGGCCTGGTGTTATGACCCTTAAACCCATTTGAAACTTCTCTGCAGTCTAAGAGTATCCATGGCACTGGAAAGTCTGATAAAGAGAGCTTTAATACCTATGCATTGTGGTATCATAATCTGTATCCAATTCCATTAAAACAATTTTACTCGTAATATCACGATGTATAAAAATCTGATAAAGAGGTGTATGATTGATTCGTATCAGAATGTAGGTGACCAATGTGTATCACAATTTGTATCTCCAGTGTGCGATGAAGGTGTATCAATAACACTTTCATCTTCCATTTTTTCTGTTGTAATAGTAATACTTTAATATAAGATGAAGGCTAGTACAGCATAAATAAAATCCCCTGGAGATATATGACGAAGCCCTCCAGTGCTCCAATTTCTTTGATATTTCTACTGTTAGCTAATGAAATCTAGATGGCAGTCTCCATCCTTTTAGCTGATGATGATTGACGATCAATATGAGTTCATCTGCATTAAGAATAGAATAACTCTTCTTATCTTATGATTCACCTTCTTTTCTCAGCTTCAATTCATCATTTTAACTGATATGTAAACATGTCAG